TTGGAACACATGTTAAAGACTTTGTCCCCAACCTGTGGTGCCAAAGGGAGATGGCAGAACTGTTAAGGCTCTGTGGAAGCAGAGACCATGGAGGAACACTGATTTACTGGTTTGATTCTCATGGCTTGCTCCAAGTCATCCTCCGACCTTCATGCAATCGAATGTGCACACACAAAATCCCCATAGTAAATAAATAATACATGCAATAAACATGCAGTATTTGTCTGTCTGAACTTGGTTTATCTTATTGAACATAATGATTTTCAATTCCATCTTCTTTTCTACAAATGTCATGATATCATTTGTCTTATGGTTGAATAAAATTCCATTGTACACTGATACACCAGATTTTCTTCATCCTCATGTGTTGATGGATACCTAAGCTGGATCTTGTGTTGACTTTTGTGAACAGAGCACCAATAAATATGGATGTGTAAGCATCTCTGTGATTAGCTGATTCAAGAATCCTCCAGGCAAAAATACCCAGGAGGTGTAGAACTGGGTCACACGGTAGTTCTAATTGCCATTGTGCCTACTGACGAGTGAACACCCATTTTTCAAATGAGTATTTATTTCGTGATAGTTCTTACTTACTGAGAAATCTCAAACTTGTCCTTGATGACTGCACTATTTTACCTTCTATGAGCAATGCATGGGGTCTGATTCTCCATCTCCTCACTAAGACTTGCAAGTTTCTTTTGTTTTTGTTGGTCTTAGTTCTAGTAATTCCAGTGAGTGTGAAGTAATATCACACTGTGGTTTGAATCTTAATCCTCTGATGGCCAGTGATGCTGAAAATCTTTTTCTGCATCTAGCTGAACATTTATACATCTTCTTTGAATTTTTTTGAGGCAGGGTTTCTCTGTGTAATGCTGGCTGTCCAGGAACTTGCTCTTGTAGATGGGGCTGGCCTTGAACTCAGAGATCTGCCTGTCTCTGCCTACTGAGTACTGAGATTAAAGGTGTGTGCCATCACTGCTCAGCTTATATTTTGTGTTTTAGGAGCCTCAGTGTCAGGAACTCATAGGGAGGTACCTCTCCCCTGGCATTTAGATCTTCCTTCCTTCCTTCCTTCCTTCCTTCCTTCCTTCCTTCCGTCCGTCCCTCTCTCCCTCCCTCCCTCCCTTCCTTCCTTTGTGTAACCTTGACTGTCCTGAAACTCACTTTGTACACCAGGGTGGCTTTGAACTCACACAGATCTGCCTCCCCAGCTTCCTGAGTGCGGGGATTAAAGGCATGTGCTGCCACTGCCCATTTGTTCATTTTTTAGTTGGCACGGTCATTGAATAGTAAGAGCTTTAAGTATTCCTGAGTATTCTTGAACAATTGTTTTTCTTTTCTTTTCCTTTCTTTCTTTCTTTCTTTCTTTCTTTCTTTCTTTCTTTTTTTGTTTCTTCGAGACAGGGCTCCTCTGTGTAACAGTCAGTCCTGGCTGTCCTGGAACTTGATTTGTAGACCAAGCTGGTCTTGAACTCACTGAGATCTGCCTGCCTCTGCCTCCCAATTACTGGGATTAAAGGCATGTGCCACAGATGTCCTGTGGACATTTGTTTTTCAGACTGGAACATCATCAGGCATGGTAGGCAACTTAAAAATTGAAAACTGTATGTATGTGTTAGGGCAGTGCATACATGCAGATGTCGGGGCTCTGCATACATACAGATGTTAGAGGAACACTTCCAAGGGCCACTCCTTCCACCACATGGCTCTTGGTGATCAAGGGAAGGTCTTTAGGTTTGGTACCAAGTGCCTTTACTGGTTGAGCCATCTCACCTGCTGAAGTTAACAACTTTTATGGAGCATAAAGTAAAAATAAATAAATAAATAAACAAATAAATAAATAAATTTAGTCAAGAATGTAGCTCAGTGATACAGCATTTGCACATGGACAATGCTCTGGGTTCCATCTTAGTAACACACACACACACACACACACACACACACACACACACACACACACAGAGAGAGAGAGAGAGAGAGAGAGAGAGAGAGAGAGAGAGAATAGCAAGTTTAATGGGTTCTTAGCAGAAGTATTCCCTAAATAACCAAACAAAAGTTGGCATGTGCATTGTGGAATTGGAGTAAACCCCACTTGTTTTCATGAAGCATGAATATCCCCTGCACAGGGTTCCCTGATGCTTAGTGGATGGCTGTGTGCATGGGCTGACCATTGCACTAGAATGACTCACATGAGTCCAGCGCTGACTCAGAGAGCAAGGCTGGAAGACCCCTTTCTCACCCTGGCTGGAGGTGACTTCCTTACATGATCAGGGACTCACTGCTTCCTGGGATCAGCCTGACTCCCAGCTCTGGCCTGGATAGTTGTTGAGCTTTGGGGAGGAGGGTGGCTTTCCACCTTTTTCAGTCCTTGAGGGGCATCTCTTCTGTCAGTTACTTAGTCTGAAAGAGAAGCAACCACTTTTTAGATCAATATTTTCAAGTCTCTTTGGAGTTAAGCCTCAGTCTCAGGCTGGAGACTAAAAGACTGCTTCTCTCTCCCAAATGGATATGAATTTGAACCCTTGTAATGAAATTCCTGCACCCTCCCCATGAAAATGTGCATATATGTGAATATGGTGACAGTAGAGTAGCTTCAAAACGAGACACCTATTTTTGCAGTATTGAGGATTGAACTTAAGGCCACACACACTTGCTGGTAAGCACTCTTCTAGCCAAGAGCGCCACCCTTCACTCTGCTTATTTTACAAAAGAAAATTAAGTAAAGTGTGTGTGTGTGTGTGTGTGTGTGTGTGTGTGTGTGTGTGTTTGAACTCACACATGTGTGTTACACGCACATGTGGCCATGCTCAGTAGTTTTTTGTGAATGCTGGAGATTTGAACTCAGGTCTTCACTTTTGCATGGCAAGTACTCTTACCCACGGAACCACCTCTCCAGTCTGCTATGTTTAAATCTTGAAACAGTGTTTAAGGTGCCCAGATTGGCCTTGAACCCACTCTATAGCACAGGAAGGCCTTGAACTCATGATCCTCTTGCCTCAGCCTTCTGAGTGGCTGGGATGACAGGCCTACTGCACCAGTCGAAGTTGGGTCTGTGGCTTTGTGAGAAGAACAAGGGAGTATCGAACTGGGATATTCTGTTGGTCTTGTCATGTGATACCCCGAACTGTGTAGGACTCTGCAGAGACCTCACCATCAAGGACACTCCAGATGGAGCTGCCTGATCTTGACCTTCCCAGTTCAGAGCTGAATGGCCTCTTTGATTTTGCTTTTCTTCTTTCTTTTTTTTTTGTTTTTGGAATCAGGAGCTCACTCTGTTGCCCAGGCTAGCTCAGAACGCACTATGTAGCTCAGGCTAGCCCATAACTGTATAGTTCTCTTGCCCCAGTCTCCCATTTGCTGGGACTACAGGTATGTACCACCTCACACTAATTCATTAATTAGTCTTTGTGACAGGACCCATTGTGTATACATGGTTGGCTTCAAACTTGATGTATAGAACAGACTGGCTTTGAACTCAACAGAGATCTACCTGTGTCTGCCTCCCTCTGCCAGAACTAAAGATGTGTGACACCATACCACAACACACCTAAATTTTTGTCCCCCCCCTTTTAAAATTTATTTTTATGTGTATGGGTGTTTAGCCGGCATGCATGTCTGTGTACCACAAACATGCCTGGGTCCCCTAAGGCCAGAAGAAGGCGTTGGGCCTTGGTGACTTCAGATAGTTGTGAACCATCAGGTGGGTGCTGGGGATCAAACATAGGTCCTCTGAAAGAGCAGGTATTATAAACTGCAGAGCCATCTCTTCAGCCCTAAACATTTTTCTTTATAAATGGCTCAACCATGGTGTTCCTTTATAGCTATAGGAAATAGGGCACTGTACGTTCACAAAACACATGCAAGTGAGAAGTCCAGAGAGGGTACACAAAGTGCACAGCAAGTCCTGGGTGCACCCTGATAAACCAGAAGCTTTCTTACTGTCTAGTATTTTAAGCCAAGTCACGGCTTCAACTTGCTGGTGCTAGGCACCTGTCAGAAGCCCCACGCCATTACACACCTGTCATTCTATTGGGGCCCACAGGGCACACTGGAGAAAACATGGGCTGTATGGGCACTATGACAAATAGCCTCCAGTTAGAGATAACAAAACTTCTAGGAATTTCCCCAGCCTACTGCAGGAGGTCAAACCCAGGGCCATGAGCTTGTGCGTCAGGCAATTGCTGTTCCACTGAGCTACACGACAAGTCACAGAACTCCTGATTTCTGAGAGAAACCAGGAATCTGGATTTGGGATGAATCTTGCACATTTGTTTGTTTTGTGACAAGGTCAAACAATGAAGCCCAGGCTGACTTAGAACTCATGTAGTTAAGAGTAGCCACGAACTCATGCCTAGTTTCCTGCCTCAACTTCCTAAGTGCTGGTGTCACATGGCTTCGTGGATCTTAAGAATTGGCTCAACCACACAATAACCCTATGTAAACAAAAGAAAATACCATAGACCCAAGCAAGATATGTGGGCTTGTGTATAGAGACAGTAGTTAGGATTCTTGTCTAAGTTGTCCCACTTAGTGGAGCCAGGACGTCCCCATCACCACCCCTCCTGCCCAGGGAGCCGTCCCCTCTCCGGGTCCCCAGAAGAATGTCTTCATCCCACCCAGCAGGGCAAGAACTGAGCACTGCTGGCAGAGAGGATCTGGGAGGTCCGGTAGAGGAGTTGGGTTTGTGTCTAGGGAGGGTTGGGAGAAAACTGGCTTGCACAGAAGTGAGGAAGGCGGGGCTCTGGCGTGGCCCAGCCTCTGGCGACCTCAATCTCCCGGCTGAAACGACCGGTTGTTCTCAGCCTTCCCCTCTGACCTGCTACCCCGGGCATTGTTTTCTGTTCTCCAGGGTCGTAGGTGGCAGGCGAGGAACGCCTGGGTTCTGGCTGCTTGCCAGCCCTGTGACCTTCGGCCCTGGGGCCACTTGGCGGCCGCGCCTCCTGGACGGGAGGAGAGGACTCCTCATTTTCTGGCTGCTAGCCTCTACCGGAGGTTCCGCTATGGGCTCGCGCAGCTCCCACGCTGCGCTCATTCCCGACGTGGACCACATTCGCAGAGAGACCGGCTGTGAGTGTGCGGGGGTAGGGCAGTCCAGTAGTCCGTGGGCGGGCACAGGAGGTTTAGTGTAGTGTAGGGGGCTTCTCAGAATGGAACTTGAGTATCCCAGATTGCAGAGACTTAGAGGGCTTGGAGTCAGAGTTCCGGAATCCGCGCTTCTGAAGCTGGAAAACCGAGATCCTGGCGTCCGGGATGGCAGGAATTTAGTCTTTGAGAACCAAGTTTGAGGCGGCCAGGGTTGATGGATCAGATTCCCTCAGTCATCCTGGAGCTCCGATGCAGGCAGAGCAGATGACGGATGCAGGGGGCTGACTTCGATGGGGACCTGGGATCTGGGAACTCTTCAGTTTCCAACATAGTGTTTCCTTGAGTCAAACTCCCTCCAGCCGGGTTGACTCCGCACCTGGGCCTGGGGTGGGGGTAACGACTCTCCCCTACCTGCATCCCCACCCGTCAGTCTCCTCCTTATGGTTGAAGCCTCGCTGGGGGTGGGGAGGTGGAAGACCCTGTTATACAAAGTTGGTGGGTGGAAGGGGAGGTTACAGATGAGAATAATCCCTCTTGGTTCCCCGCACATGTCCCCTGAGCCCGGGTTTCTGCAGCGCACCCCAATGCACATAGGATCTGGCGATAAGGGTTGAGAGTCCTCTGGGGGCTCATCCCACCTCCTTCTCTCCCACAGTCTCGCAAGCCAGCCTGCTCCGTCTCTACCACCGGTTCCAAGCCCTGGACAGGGAGGAAAAGGGCTACTTGAGGTGAGTAGAGCAGATCTAAAGACCTTTTTCCACTGGTTTTCTGGCCCCACCCTCTCTCTGACACCTCCATCGGCCTCCTTTGCCTCATTGCTTTGTCTCCACAGCCGCCTAGACCTCCAGCAGATCGGGGCCCTGGCTGTGAACCCCCTGGGGGACCGCATTATAGACAGCTTCTTCCCCAACGGGTGAATCTTGGCGGGTTGGTGTAGGGGAGAGGGACGTGGGTGGGAGGGAGGCTGCAGACGGTGGCAGTCTAAGTGACCATTGCCCTTCTCCATCCCTGCACCTGTAGGAGTCAGAGAGTGGATTTCGCAGGCTTTGCCAGGGTCCTGGCTCATTTTCGACCTGTAGATGAGGAAGATGCAACAATCCGAGACCCCAAGCAACCTGAACCCCTAAACAGCAGAATGAACAAACTGCGCTGTGAGTGTGTGAGACCTGCTCCAGTGAGACCCCAAGATTTACCCACACCAGGGAGAGGCCCAGGAACCTCTCACTCCCCTTATGAGCCCGATGAGGACTTAATGTTAACTCAGGGAGCCTCACTTTCCTCTTCCCTGTTACTTTCCCAGTTGCATTTCAGCTCTACGATCTGGATCGTGATGGGAAGATCTCCAGGAATGAAATGCTACAGGTTAGAAAACCACAGGGTGCATCAGATGTGGGCAGGACAGGATGGCTAAATGGGTTGTTGGTGGTGGTGGTGTGTGTGTGGGGGTGTGTGTGTGTGTGTGTGTGTGTGTGTGTGTGTCTGTGTGTGTGATGAGTAGGGTTGCAGATGATTGTGTGTTAGGTAAGTCATGGGACTGGATATGGTTGGGTGTGGCTAGTTAGATGAATGGGTAGAAAGTAAGTAGGTATGAGGTTGGTAATAGAATTCATATTCTCAACATGGGGGTAATTTGGCATCTTGAGTGAACATTTACCAATGCCTGGAGATACTTGGTTGTCACTACTGGGAAGAGATCACACAAATGATGCTATTGAGAATGGGCCAGGGATACTGCTAAACACATCAAAACACCTAGGACGGCCTTCCACAACAAGGAGTTATCTAGGTCTAAATGTCAATAGTGCCAAGACCCTGGGATGGATGAAGGAGTTAGGGTAGAGGGAGAGGTGGGGTGGAATGGAGGATGGATGTCGATTGGGCTGTAAGGTTCAGGTTTAGGGGGGCACATTAGTTATTGAAGTATGAGATGGAATCACATGGAAGACTAGACAGTGGAGCAGTGTGGTGTAGTGCTTGCTAGAGGCTACAGGGGAAATTGAGTTTGATGATGAAAAGTGAGTGAGAGAAGTTTGGCCATAACTTGGGGTGATGTTGGCAAGGGCTGGATTGGAGGAGCAGTCTCTGCAGCTCTTCCTTATGACCACGTCTCCTACCTCCCAGGTTCTCCGGCTGATGGTTGGAGTTCAGGTGACGGATGAGCAGTTGGAGAGCATCACAGACCGCACAGTGCAGGAAGCTGATGAAGACGGTGATGGGGCAGTGTCCTTCATGGAGTTCACCAAGGTTAGGAGAGTGGAGATCAGGAGCCCCTAGGACAGGAGGAAATGGGAGCTAAAGTTCACTGGAGGATGGGAGCAACATGGGGCATACTGGGAGATGCCAGGACTCCAGGGGAGGAGGTGAGATGCATAGGGTTAAGATTCAAGCCTCTTGACTGGACCACACCCATCTCTCCCCAGTCCTTAGAGAAGATGAACATCGAACAAAAAATGAGCATCCGGATCCTGAAGTGACTCCTATGCCTTTGGCTCATGCAAACCTCTATTGACTTGGGATTTATCCTCGGGGTCCTTGGAGGCAGGATCCCCATAAGCTATATTCTTACTTTGAAACTCTATTGAGGACTGGGAAAGGGAGTTGGAGGGGTGTGGGCTGAAGTCTCATTTGGTTGCAGATTTGTAAATCAGCCCGTGATCATTTGGTTGCAAGTGACTGAAAATCTCACCCAAAGTGACATGAGTTAAAAAAGTGAAAAAAATTATTACATGGGCTCATGTAATTAGACAGCACAGAAGGAGTGCCTTTAAGTAAGCAGGATCCAATGACAAAAATGATGTCATCAGGACTGAGTTTTGTCACCTGTGTTTCTCAGCTCAGCTGCTCTCTTGCATTAGCCTCATTCTTTCCTTTGGTGGAATGGGCCACCAGCACTCCAGATCACATCATCCTAGCCCAGTAATTGAGGGGAAATAGACTTCCTCCCTTAAGAACATCAACCAAGCATCATCATCGACCCATCTGGGGTCTTTTCTCTCTCTCCAGGGGAATGGAACATTCTAATTGGTCATACCTGTGTCATGTATTAATTCTCAAGCTCCAGAAATAAGGTCTGAAGAGTTAGGATAGAGTGAGAGGTGACTGCTTTAGGGAAAATGAAGTAATGTTATCAGAAAATGTGTGTGTGTGTTTATGTTGGTTTTGCTCAGGCAATAGGAATGATGCATCTCCTTGCTACTTGGTTGAGCAAATGGAGGGAACCTAGAAATCTGGCCTCTGGGATGGGGTTTTCTCTGATTCCCTGGATGAATAATAACATGGTGGGAGGGAGAATGATGTACAAATAATAAATCATACATACTTTCCTAGTGTGTGTAGTTACTTTAAGTCTTGTAGAATGATTCTGTTGTGTTTATGGTAAGATGGTCAAACACTGACAGACTGCAGAATAGAGTATAAAAGTCACATTGAGGCAAAATAGAAAGACAGGAAAAAAAATTAAAGGGACATGAGAAGGGAAAGCAGACCCTCACACAAGAGACTGGTTGAAGTCTCCATGACCCCCACACACCCACACACCCACACACACACACACACACACACACACACACGCGGGAGAGCTATGAAATTTTCCTATTTCAAATAATAATGTTAAAGCAGGGGCTAAAGAAGAGATGAATCAATTGCTAAGAGTACTGAACATTTTTCAGAGGACCCAGGTTCACTTCCAGGCACCCACATTAGATGGCTGAGAACAGTTTGTTATTCAAGTTTTGGGGAATATAATGCTATCTTCTGACCTTCCCAGGTACTGCATGTATGTTGTGAGCATGCAGACAAGAGGTCACAAACAAATACACATAAATAAAAGTTAAAATAGTAGTGAAACATGCTTAAGGCCTGAGCCTGTGTGACTTTCCATTGCTGTCTTACTCTTTCCCAGAGAGACTGTAAACCTTTGCTTATGGTAAATGCATGACCGCCCACTTCCTGTGCAGCTCCTGGGACTTAAGGTTTTACCTGACCAATTTGTATCCCATGCAGCTTGGGAGCCACCCAATGATCTCATTTGAGTGCCTTATAAATCTTGTAAGATGTAACTTTCAAGCCACCAAAATGGCTGTGATAAAGAAATTTAAGCATGACTTTCTTGAGAAGGCCACACCCACATCTGGATGTGCCTTATCTTCACCTTGAATGACTCCTCAGTGCTCAGATACACCCTCCTAGCTATTGCTTAAACCTATGTTTTAAAATATCTCTCCCAAAGGGGACTGGAACAATGGCTCGGAAGTTAAGGGCATTTGCTACTCTTGTGGAGATTCTGGGTTCAGTTCCAACACCCACCTAGTGGCTCACAACTACTATGTAACTCCAGTTCCAGGGCAGCCTCCACAGGTACAAGGCATGCATGTGATGTGAAACAGGCAGGCTCTCACACATACAGATGAAGCAGATACAGCTTTTAAAATGTCTCTTCCCAATAAACTCCAATTCTGCTTTAAACTGGCTGATTCTTTTTTTTTTTTTTTTTTTTTTGTGGCAAAGCCGCTTAAAATGTATATATTTGAATTTTAAAGGAAATTTCTTGTCCTACAAATGAAAGCCATCGTCACTTGAGAGGGGTTTGCCAAAGAAAATTGGAAGGGCACTGTAACTGTCTTAGGTATTTCCCTGGGGCTTCGGAGAGACATTGTGGCTGTTCTGGAATTGTCTAGAAGAGTCTATCTGTATATCCCAAAGAGGAGGTGTTGAGTTCCAGAGAAAGCCCTCTTCTTTGCTTAGAAGTCTGAACCAAAAACAGTGTGTGCAGGAATCCCGGAGAGCGAAGCAGGAAGAGCTGGGGCACTGGTGTTGTGTAGACACTCTATGGACTCTTTCTGATCCCTAAGGAGAACAGCTTGAATTCTGAACTTGACTCTCAAATAGAAGGAAGCTTAGTGCTCTCCTAAGTTCTACTCAAAGAACACTAATAAAACACCCTTGATTACATTTTATTTACTTATTTATTTGGTGTGTGTGGGTGTGTGGGTGGGTGTATGTGTGTGTGTTATACAAACACATGAGTACAGGCCAGAGGAAGACATCATGAGTATTTTCTGTGTATTCTCTTGAGACAGGTCTCTTAACTGCATCTTCAGCTGGACGGGCAGCCAGCAAACTCAATGAGTCTCCTGTCTCTGGCCTCATAAATGCTGGACGTATGGACACTCCTGACTACATCTGATCTTTTCTTTTTTCCCTTATAGTGGTTGGGTCTCTTCCTTGCACATTTGGCACATTTACCCACCTACTGAGACCTCCTCACTTACTTACTTTATTTAATTTTTTTTGAGAATAAGCTTATCTTGGTAGGCCAAGTTGGCCTCAAACTCTCAATCCTCTTGCCTTAACATCCCCAGTATTGGATTACAGGCCTGTATTAATTCTTAAGAGGTAATCGTCTTGAGTACAGATGAGACTGGGAAATTAGCATGATTTAGCTAAAGTATCTTGAATTTCAGACTCTGCATTAGTTGTCTTGTTGCTGGAAAAAAAACTGGCAAAAGCTACTTAAGGAAAGAAGAGTTAATTGTGGCTCACAGCACCTGCAGTCCCATCATGGTGCCAGCATGATGGTGGAGGGGCCTGAGGCAGCGGCTCACACTGCACCTGCAGTCAGGGAGGAGGGAGAGATGAATTTTGTATTCAGCTTGTTCTCTATTGTTTTATTCAGTCCAGAAACCCTGTCCATGGAATGATGCCAACCTTGGTTCTTCCCACCTCAGTTAACCTAAGACAACCACTGACAGACATGCCCAGAGATTTGTTTTCCATAGTCATTCAAATCTCATCAATCAAGATTGGCCATTCAAGTCTATTAAGTCTGTGTTTGAACCTGAGCTTCTTTCCTCACCTTCTTGGGCACCTGTCCCCAAGCATGCCTTTGCTTCTGTTATGTGGGAGGGGGGCAGAGACAAGCAGCTGTCCTGCAGGAATGCTGTGTTGCTTCTCCAGCCCTGTTGTATCTCAGCAGAGGCTCTTACTCCCATCTGTACAGTTGGACTTTGACCTGGATCAGTTAGAATTCCTCTGGCTGATAACTGGCCCATGAAAATAGAGATTTATTGGTTTGGAAAACTGAAAGGGAAGTCCAAAGGTGGCCCAGGCAGTCCCAAAGCCTTGAGGATATCTTCAGAAATAAGCCTTAGCTCTGAGATCTTGTGTTGGCTTCACTTCTGAGTCAACAATATTGCGAATGGAACACCTCCTTTCACAACTTGTTCTTCCCCAAATCCCAGAACTAACCTCATTGGTAGTATGGTAAGTGGAACACTTTGATTGGCCAAATATGGTCACACGGTCTCTTCAGACTGGAAGACTGCAGTCAACCCTATTTGAACTTTTAAATGCAATGAGTGTGTTGACTCTTCAAGGCCATGTCACAATGCTGTTACTAGAAGAGGAAGGTGGCACACTGGTTAGGTGATCTCAGATGAGAACCATGTAAGTGTTATTTTTTGCCCCAAATACAAGACTTACCAACTAGCATTGGTTTAAAGAATTAGACGCTTATTTCATACTGTAAGCTGTCTCTGATGACAGGCAGACCTAAAGTTATTGAGTGACTCAAAATATATTTTTAAGGACTGGAGATGCTCTGTCCTTCTTTCTCCCACTATGCCAGTTTTTGATTCTCATTGGACCCTGATAGCTTCTGTCACTGTTCACCATCCCATACTCAGCACAATGGGAACATGTGTAGGCTAGCCAGTTTTTGTTGCCATGATAAATTCCTTGAGAAAATAAGTTAAAAGAAGAAAAGGTTTATGTAGCTGACAGTAACAGAGGTTTCTATCCATAGCCACCTGGTCATGTTGCTTTGGGCTTTGGGTTATGATAGGCAGAGCATCATGGTGGGGAGTGAGTGGTGGAACAAAGCTGCTTATCACACAGTGGCTGGGAAACAGCCAGAAAGACACGGGGTGAGAAACACCCTTCAAGGGCATTACTCCAGCGGCCTACTTCCTCTAACGAGGCCCCCTCCTAAAAGTCCATTAAGCTTTGAATTTATCAGTGGATTAATCCATTGACGAGGTCAGAGTTCTGATGATCCAATGTCTTTTCAAATGCCTATCAACTGCAGCCACTCCTTCAACATCTGTGATCCAAGCCAAACGATGTACCTAACTGCATGGCCAGGGCAACTAAGACCCTTTTCTTTCCCTCTCTACTTTGATCATTGAGGGAAACCCTTTTTCTGTAACTGTCGTTGATGGCACAGAACAAGAACATTGTAGCTTCAAGGAAGCTTGGACATGAGAATCTGTTTTGTTTTTGAGACTGTATCATGAGGCTTTACCAAAAGTGACAAAAGAAGAGGGAAATAGTAGCTGTGCTATATATTGCCTTAGTTTGCTTTTATGATGCAATAAACACCATGACTAAAAGCAACCTGGGGAGGAAAGAGTTCATTCCATCTTAGAATTCTCAGGTCACACACCATCACTGAGGGAAGTCAGGGCAGGAACTCTGC